TGAAATGTGTTACAGTAAATGAGTATAAAGAAAATTACAGCTAAACACAAACACCGCAGAAATGTAAAAACAAACCTGGCCCTTAATGGTAAGAAAATTGAAAAACGGTCTGGTCACTAAGAGGTTAAAGACCTGCATAAGAAATTAGGGACCCTGAGACACGAGAGTAGCTAACATTACAGAATATCATCTTTATTAAACAGAATCAAAAGTAATTTAACTCCTAAATGGCAGGGAAGTGAGTAGTCTGCAGTGGCGTGATCTATAAACCAAAACTGCTTCATTAAGCTAAAGCTTTTTTGGTGCTTAGAATATCCATTTAACCATTTTATGCTCTCTAAGCAGTACTATTTTATTAGAACATCTTAGTGAATGTACCATTGGTCTACATTCCTTCTGTGTCAAGAGTTACTTGTCAGACATAAAGGAAACATGCTTGGTACTCTGTGTCTGGATTCTTTTTGGACTTGGGTCTGGAATGCTGGACGTGACATCAGGAATCATGTGAAATGCTTCCAATAGACAATTATCCAACAGTGCAGGCAGTTTTACCCTGGCTACTCTTCAATGTGCTTATCACAGAAACATAAATGGATGGCAAGTGCGTCCATCAAATGGTTAATAAAAAAGGGATACATTTTAGGTGAATAATGCTCTAGTTCATTAAAATATATTTTTTTGTGCAGTGTTCATCTGTTTAGATCAATTTATAGCATACCTCATTTGTAGAACTATGGTGCTTAAATTACCATTTTCTTTCAAATAAATAGAAGCAATCACTGTATATTTATTTGACTTAGTTAAATGGATGGTAAATCTGGAAGGAGTATAAATGTGTCTAATTAAATATCCCATGGACAGTGCTATGTAGCTTAATCAGTATCATATGGAGATACTAGTGAAAGTTCTGCTGTTTGATCACAAAGATCACTACTTAAAACACCAGTTCTTCATCACAACAAATCGAAATATACAGGGTTTATACGTTAATGTGTACAACTCCATTACGATAGAAATAGCCTTTCACATTAAACCCTTATTAAATAGAATAAGTTTTAAAATCACATTATATGAGAGTACAAAGCATAGAAGTTTGTGTTAATTGGAAGCTTTCACCAGATGAATTTACATAAAAAATGTCTACACTACAACAGCATCAATTATACGGAAAGAAAAGAAGGAAAAAAAAAAATCAGCTTTGTATTTGAATTTAATGTAAATGGCATTGGACACCTGGCACGCTATAAACACCATGACACTGTGTAACAGTAAACATGGGTACAATGGCGTTCCTTTTCTGAGAAGGGAATCCATCTGCGCACCACAGCACAAGGACAAAAGAGGATTGTTAGCAGTTTAAGGCACCTTGATGCAATCATACCACTTGACTGTTTTATTAATTGTTCCATCTGTTAAGTGAGAACTTTCTAACATTGGCTGGTACAGTGATTGGAAACCCCTAAGTCTGCTTCCTATTGGTTCCACATGTGTTTGTATTTGTTCTTGGGGAGAGCAACTTCCAGAAAGAACACAAGGCATTTAAGATCAATTGTAATATCGGTGATGAATGGATAGATGGCAAAATGCATTGTGCTCTCCTTTCAAACAAACACAAAAATATTCTAGTTAGTATTAAAGTAATATTATTGCTGAAGGGAAATAATATAAATCTTTATAAAAATCTTTATAAAAAAAGACAATCTATATCTTGACACATACAGTGCCCTTCTAGAGTTTCACAACTGATTTATCTACAAAGATCCAGCACATACAACCAGAAATAGACTAATAATCAATTACAAGTCAAAATGGACGCCCACTTAATGTGGACTTGGACTGCATATATAATTGAATATATGTGCATTGGGGCAAAGAGAAAATTGGAAATCTGTAAAAAAAAAAAAATGTAAACTAGTGGTATTGCATACAATAGCATGCTTCAGTTAAATGAAAATCTAGAATAGAGTTAATTTTCCTTTAAGGCGTTATGTAGATCAGGGGGCCAACAATGCAGATCTTGAAATGTGTTAGAAGTGCCATGATGCATGAGGCTGGTAAGGCATCATGGGAGTTTCAGTTTTGCAAAAGCTGGGAATACACTACTACTCGTCATGGAGGAGTGGAAGAAGACTCCAGTGGCAACCTGTGAAGCTCTGGTGAACTCTATGCCCATGAGGGTTACGGCAGTGCTGGAAAATAATGGTGGCCACACAAAATATTTGGACATTTCCACTTAGGGGTTTACACACTTTTGTTGCCAACGGTTTAGACATTAATGGCTGTGTGTTGAGTTATTTTGAGGGGACAGCAAAGTTACAGTGTTATACAGGCTGTACACTTACTACTTCACATTGTAGCAGGGTGTCATTTCTTCAATGTTGTCACATGAAAAGATATAATAAAATATTTACAAAACTGTGAGGGGTGTGCTCACTTTCGTGAGATACTGTGTGTGTGTATATATATATTTACCATAGGATGTATTCTTTCATTTTAAATCAAAAAGGCCAGAAATGTAATGATGTAACTCTTCAAAATAAAAGACCAGATCACACACGAAAAAAGAAAAATAATCCACATTTGCCCACCAAGTGAGCTTTCATAGGAGGAAAATCCATCATATTGGCTTTCCACACTATACAGGTTCAGTCAGACTGCTTTGATTGGATGGCTTGTAAGCTAAACAATCAGAGAGCTCTGACAGGCAAGTCTTACTTACTTCACGACTTATATGGGAAAATTCCCACACAAGTCTGGAGATAATTTTTTTGAAATTTAGGCTAACAATATTACAATTTATACTTGTAGTTTACTACAGTAATTCTCTGTACATCACATTTTTCATTATTATTATTTTTAGAGAATGCATTTTACCAATATTTCAGGTACATATAATTAATGATATTCTGAAAATATTCTGGTAAAATTCCGTTGCCAAACATTTCAATTGTATACAAATGTAACAAATATTTGCTTTCTCCATTCCTTACTAATCCGAGCAGAAAATACCTTCACCTAACTTAGTTTTATCTCCATTTTTATCCAGAGGCCTATAATCCACAAAACTAGCTAATAGAAAACAAAATGAAGGACCTTCATTTTCACCGAGCATTGGGTTAATGTTTGGGTAAGGGATTGGATTAATATTAGGGTTATATTTAGGGCTAGGTTAAAGAACTATGGTTTGGCTTTGTTGAGTCTAGAGTTAGTGCTAGAGCTATGGTTAGCTTAGTATTAAAATATATATGGATATATATGCCATTGTTTTGCTAATTGTATGGATATACATTAATCATCTATTTTTTTTGTTTTAAATTCTTGATTTTTAAAGTGCATATATATCAACATTCAATAGCAGAAAGACAGTTAAACCAATTCTCGTGAAGAAGATTGGCTAAGTGTGTCTGAGGTTTTGCACTTTTGAATTTTGTTTTGTAAAATAAGAGTAGAATAAACTGTGAGCTCAACCTATCGTAGAGTAGTAGAGTGTGGGTTAGAGCTTTATGGCTTTATGAAACTACAGGTATATGGATAGTGTGGCTTATGGTTTGAGCAAGCTTATAAGTAATGAAAAGAGCAGGCTATATAACAAAGTAACTGAGAATTATATAAAATACAGCTCCTTGTAGAGTTACTAATGCAAGCTAAACCTACTGGAGCTGGGGGTTAGGTGTGAAAATGTAAGGAGCTCAGTGGCTCCGGTGAAACCCATCTTTGGCCTGAACAGGCCCTTCAGTCATGGTTTTGAGAAAGAAGGGAGAGGAGAGAGTACCAGGGAACCCCCAGAACTCTCTGTAGACAAAAGAAGAACACAAATGAAAGAAAAAGAAAATAAACAAGTCCCAACAAAAGATTGTCCAAGTCAGGTGATCGCAGCAGTAGCCGCTCCACTGCATGTCGGAGTGAATGGGGTGATGTTGGCTGCATCCCAAGTGGTAGTAGTGGGTTGGGAAACTGGGCTGAGGCCTAGGGAGGACAGGATAGCAACTGCATCTGAAGCATTGGTCACTTTGTGTTCTGCGCCGTTGTGCTGGAATATGAGTGTAACGGGAGCACTCCAATGTTATTTCAGGCCATGGGACATGAGCAAAGTAGTTAAAGGTCTGAGTGATTTCCTCCAAGGTGGAGCGAGAGAAGTCTGCTTAGAAGGTGAGTTCCATCTCCTAGAATTTATATGGGGTTTTCCCTCAGGTGGCATTCCGGATGGCTGGCCTGTCTTGCCCATTGTGAAATTTGACCAGGAGGTCACCGGAAGTTGATGCCTGTTTGGACTGAGGAGTAGACAGGTGAAACATGACGTCTAGTTGAATGCCCCATGCTGATTTTGGCGGTAGCAGGGCCACAAACAGCCTTTGTATAAAATGTGGCATCTCTTTCATAGTGATACCATCTGAAATACCTCTGACCTTTAGGTTCCTTCACCTCCTCTTATGTTCTAGGACTGCCAGTTGGATGTCAAACATGAGCTGGGCAGAAGTGTGATCCCTCAGCTGCTTCTGCAATTCGGAGATTTGTATGGCTTGTGCCTCAGTGGTGTGTTCCACAGAAGTTAGGTGTGTTGTGAAGCCCCTGACATCCTCCCCCACTTGAGATGTGTCAGCTGAAAGGCCCCTGCGGAGATCAGCTAGGAGGCTGCTGATAATCTCAGTAGTTACAGGGGGAGAAGTACCTTCAGCCACTGGAAAAGGCTTGGGGGTTCGCTGATAGTGCAGGTCCTCCACTCTGTGCAGGGGTTGTGCAAGATCCTTTGAACTTTGTGAACATGGATTCTTTTTTATCGTCAGGATTTTTATTTTCAGCGTGTTTTCTTTTTTGGGAGTTTGGGATTTCGTGGCAAGAATCAGATCTGAATTTTATTTACCAAATGAAATCTCATACCGAACAAAAACTACCGAATGTCGGGGGGCGTGGCCTGACTGCCGATGTGAACAGACGCACTGAAACGAAGCTCCCCAAAGCGGACACTAACAAGCCGGGCTAATACCGTCCAAGAGCCCCCAATGGGAAACAAAAGAAGACCAACCACACTGGCACACACTCCGGACGCGGGATCGGGTAAAAAATCCAGAGATTTAGACAGATATTTCAGGGACACTGTCAGCATACTAGGCGCGGAGCAGGAAGAATGCCGGATGCCATCTTTATCACGTGGCTCACATTCCATCAGCCCGACGAGATCGGAACACCTTACTGAGGCAGGCATGGCCAAAATAAAAGAGCTCATCCAGAACTTGCCATCGAAGGACGAGTTGGCTGTGATGCTGACTAAACTGAAATCCTCTGTGCAAGAGCAAATCTCCACACTAACCTCAGAAGTCAAACAGATCAGTAATAGAGTGGGGGATCTGGAGGACGACCGTGAACAAATTATGGATAGACTGCAATACTTGGAACAGAGCCAAGAGAGGAATGAGGCCAAAATATTGTAGAACCTGAAGCTCGCCAAAGAAATAATATCAGAGTGCGTGGTTTACTGGAGGCACAAGGAGCGGATGAGGACCTCCACTTGACACTGCAAACTCTTTTCAACAGAATACTATTGAGGCCTGAAAATACCCATATCATCATGGATAGGGCCCACAGAGCGCTCAAGCCTAGGGGTCTGGCACCAGAAACCCCCAGGGATGTGATATGCAGAGTGCACTACTATTCTGAGAAAGAGGAGATTATGCGCACCGCGAGAGAAACCACAGAAATCCTGTTCAATAATGCGAAAATACTACTACTCCCTGATCTCTCCTGGCTGACGCTTAGAGGCCAGAGGGCCTTGAGACCAGTCACACAGGCCCTGCAACAGGCGGGAATCAAGTACAGGTGGGGTTACCCATTCTCCCTCACCGTTAATCACCGGGGAACCAGATCTCCCTGACGATGGCAGCAGAACTTCCAGAGTTCTCCAAGCGCCTAGGCATCCCGACGATGGAAATACAGGACTGGTATGAAGTTGGGGGCCAATGGAACCAACCTCCGCCCAGCTGACGACTGCAAAGCCGAGCCCAAGACCCAAGAAGGACACAGATGAGGAGATCGCTGACTGATTCGCCTCTACAGAGATCTAAACGACTACCGGTCACTCCAAAAAGGATCAGATGAGATGTGACCACGATCTCAATACAACACAGGGTGGAGTGGACTCAGTGACTATTACACCGTTCGTTGTTCCCATATCTTACTTAACTCGGGACGGTAAATATTTATGATTGTCACTTTTTCTTTATGTACAAGAGATTAGTTTTAACGGGGGGAGACAGGCTGTTAACACTCGAGGGCCTACCTCCTTATTTTTCATTTCATACCACCTAGGAAGCGCAGACTAAATGGCGCCGGGCCCAGAAGTTTGCCTGGTGGTGACACCTGGGCGGGGCTCTGGGGCACGGCCAGGAATACTATTAGGGGGTTAGGAGACCTAGTGCGACCATCTTCTCTAAGAGGCGGAACTTAAGAGGTCACTACACTAGGATAGAATGAAGCTCTCATGCTGATCCCATCCTGTTATCCCTGGCTATCCACACACAACAGTTGATTGGCCGCTGAGGGGGTGCGATGTTCACACTCAGGGAGAGTTAATTAATTTTCACCCTCTGAAGGCGGAGGTATACGGGTAGTTCGGGGAGCAGGGCGCGATCTGTGCCACGCTCGGACCGACGACACGCAAACCCCCATTGTTGTGGGACCGTTTACGGCCCAGAGCGGTACACCTCAAAGAAATAGTTTTTTCTGGTTCCATTACTGTTTATCATTGCTATTCCCCTGACCCAGTTAGTATAACTCGGAGTTCTCAGGGCTGAGTACCGAGTCCTTACTATAGGTCACCAGGCGCATTAGGAATAGCCCACAAATCTTATCACGCAAGAGAGGGCTACCGTATTTAAAGAAAAAAAACCAAAAAAAAAACTGTATTGAACCCAGACGACACCCTCAGCCGCGCACGTGACCTCTACCAGAGAGACAATATCGTTGTTAAGCCATACTACAAGTCCTAATAGTATCTTAAGTGATCGAGACTAGTGAATATTGATCGTATTCTCATTGTTCTATTTTTTTTTATCATTGTAAAGTTAACTATAGTTAAAACTTCAAGGTTATTCGTTCAGGTGCAATCGAACCACTGAGCCCAGTGGATATCTGGTTAGTCAAGCACATTATTCCAAAACTCTGTCATCGCCTCGAGACTAGACACTGGTTTAGGGGTGAGGCACGAGAGGATACCCTTGTGAACGGCCAATTCCCAAAATTACTGATAACAAGATTCCACCATGGGTAAACTTCAAATATTATCACAAAATGTTAGGGGCCTTAATTCCCCAGAGAAACGGAGGATGGTTCTCAAGGATCTAGCGGGAACAAGGGCTGATGTCATTTTCCTACAAGAGACCCATTTCAGAGGCACGACGGCACCCTCCCTCAGACACCCTAGATTTCCACACATCTACTACAACAACATCAGTAAAAGCAAATCTAGGGGGGTAGCGATAATGATCAAAACTGGGGTCCCATTTACTTACACCAACCATATAGCAGATAACTTGGGACGGTACCTGATAGTGCAGTGTCGGATAGGCACGTCACCAATCACCCTAGTGGGGATCTATCTCCCGAACAAGCACCAATGTGGCACTTTCCGGAGGATACTGGCTAAAGTCCAACGAAATACACAAGGCACACTAATAATGGGGGGCGACTTTAACATTTCCCTAGATTCCGCTAAGGACAGCACTTCACTCAAAACCAAACACATGGAACCGGCCCGACATCAAATGCAACATATTCTGCACATTAACCAACTAGTAGACTGCTGGAGGGCCTTACAACCGACAGCGAAGGATTTCACACATTACTCAGTCCCAAACAACATGTACTCACGTATAGATTTTTTCCTAACGACACATAGAGACCTGGGACTCATAACAGATCCAACCATAGGAAATGCAACCTGGTCTGATCACGCCCCGATAACTGTCTCCCTTGATCTCCCCTCACTCCCCCGCCCCAAAGGGCAGTGGAAGCTAAACCCGCACTTACTTCAATCAAGCAAGCAGTGGAGGCGTCCATCACACAATATTTTAAAGAGACTAAAAGAGCTTTTACGCAATGGGAAGCACACAAAGCAGTAATACGGGGGGAACTAATAAAATGGGGGGCACAGTCCAAGAAAAACAAACATAAACGGATCACAGAATTACTGGGAGAGATTCGTTCTCTTGAGGAGGCCCATAAACATAACCTTTCAGACCCAATATTCCGCTCTCTTATAGCACTACGAAAGGAACTTCATTCCCTCCTCCTAGACAATGCTAAAAAGGCCATATTATGGACTAATCAACTATACTTCGCCCAAAGCAATAGGAGTGGTAAACTTCTGGCCAAAGCCCTGAAACACAAACAAGCCCAGACCTATATCCCTAAGATAAAACGTCCTAACAACACAGTAGCATCCACCACAGAGGACATAGCGGAGGCTTTTAGGGAATATTACACATCATTATATAACCTAAGAAATAAAGCTCCAAGTATCGAGGACATCACAGCATATTTAGCTGACAAATTTGACACTACCCGGCCGGCAGCAGCCGCGGGATCCCTGGAGGAGCCATTCTCCTCGGCTGATCTGCAGTTGGCCATTAACCAAACCCCAGGGAACAAAAGTCCAGGCCCAGACGGCTTCTCCGCAGTTTACTACAAGACCTTTCAAAAGGATCTGATAGACCCTTTCTTAGAAGCAATTAATTCTATCCCTCTGGGACACTCCATACCCACACAAGCACTAGAGGCATCCATCACACTCTTGCCTAAACCCAGGAAAGACCCGGAGAAGTGTGCAAGTTATAGACCAATCTCCCTTATAAACGTAGACATTAAAATCTTCACCAAAATGATGGCATTTCTTGATGGACCTAGTCCACCCTGACCAGGCCGGCTTCGTTCCAGCGAGAGAGGCAAAGGACAACACGACCAAAACGATCAATCTGATACATGTAGCCTCGAAAACCAAGACGCCCTCTCTCATGCTGGCAATAGACGCGGAGAAGGCGTTTGACAGGGTGGACTGGTCCTTTCTTACACTAACTCTGGCAGCCTAAAGGTGAACGGGCAGCTATCGAAACCATTCCAAATTCGCAATGGTACGCACCAGGGCTGCCCTTTGTCCCCCCTCCTTTTCATTTTGTCGTTAGAACCTCTATTACAAGAGGTCCGTAGGAGAGTAGACATAAGAGGCATTAAAGTAGGGACAAAAGACTATAAAGTGTATGCTTTTGTGGATGATTTACTATTTACTATAGCACACCCTGTATCCAGTCTACCTATTCTCATGAAGGTTCTTGACAGGTATAGCGACTTCTCCAATTTCAAAATAAACACCGAAAAATGTGAGATCCTAAATATTAACATCCCTAAGGACCAATTCACCCACCTACGGGACACATACCCATTCCTTTGGGCTAACAATTCCATTACATATCTGGGGGTGCAATTGACAAATTCATACCACACACTCTATTCTGCAAACTTCCCACAATTACTCACCGCAATAAGGTCAGATCTAGCAAAGTGGGATAAACCACACTTTAGGTGGATGGGTCGTATCAACATCATTACAATGATGATCCTACCACGCATACTATACTTACTCAACACATTACCAATTCATATCCCCTCGAAGTTCTTCCGACAGATTCAAACAATACTCACCTCTTTCATCTGGGCTAAGAAAAGGCCTAGGGTAGCCTACAATATCCTGACCAAAAATAGAGAAAGGGGCGGCCTAGGATGCCCACACATTCTCCAGTACTACAAAGCAATACATCTAGGGCACAACATCTATGGTCGAGACCAGATGGGAAGAAGATGTGGGTCGAGATAGAACAGGACCAAATAGAAACTCCACTGCAGGTTCTTCCCTGGTCGATCCATACCGCCAACAGTAAAATTCCGACCAATCTTCCTACGATTACCACTACACTACAAATCTGGAAGTCAATCAACCAAGGCTCGGAATTTACTCCGACCACATCTCCTAAATACCCTATATCGCACAACCCACTACTCCGGACGAACCTGGAAAGTCTCAGGGAGGCCCCAGGGACGTCTCGGATGAAAGACCACTACTTAGCATTAGGTGAGGTTATAGGACCTCAGGGACTGAGACCCCTACAGGATCTCTCGAGATCCTAAAACCAGACCATGCTGCAAACATTCCAATACTATCAACTCAAATATTTCTTAAGCAAAGAGCAACTATTAAATTGGACACCTAGAGTAGAAACGTCTTTTGAAACCATATGCACAAAACCAATAACTAAGAAAATCATATTGAAATGTTATCAACTAATCCAGGCTTCGGAGAATGTGGGCCTTCCATGGTACACTAGAGCCACATTTGGACGGCTCTCTACACCACTGGAGGATTCCCAATGGTCGAACATTTTAC